ACAGATCCAGTTTCCTTATTCTTAATCAAACCTGTTTAGATGATCTACCACCATTCTATAGAATTTGGAAGGGCTTGTTCTATTTTGGGACCTCACCCAAAATTGAGTCTTAAGAAAAAAGAAATTGCACCTAATGACCTCTTATACATCTATACACACAGGCATACATTTCTATATACATGCTTAGGTATTTGTATCCCCTTTGCCTTCCAAAGCCCTGCAACACATTAACTCCCTGGTTAATATTTTTTGATAACACTAGAGTTTAGTATTCTATTAACACCTATTTTTTCATGTCATCTTCAGACATCTGGAGACTGTGTTAGGGCTGAATCCAATTTATTAAACATCCCTGGAAATTAAAGTACAGGCATCCTCCCTTGTAGCAACAGTTGTGTTCCTGAAATGCCAAGAACTAGATTTTTGAAAATCTTTTTTTCTTATTGATTTTAGTTTTTAAAATACAAGTTCATCCAGTGGTACCTCTAGTTGATAAATTAGCACTAGATCCAACTCTATTTAAAAGAGGGACTTTTAGAAAAAAATCTTTTTAATCACTGAGTACCTGTTTTATGAACTTGGATTTTGAATGTGTACTGAATCTGCTTATTGTGGAAACTATGTAGGGAGGTAGCAGGGTTTTTATGAGGAGTCAGCCAGAAGGCAAAGGAGACCTACTACACAATGAGAATCAGAGAGCTGAAGGCCCTAGAGTTCACACAAAGGCACACATGTGACCCGGTGTCTTTCCTGGACTACTTCCTTCTGATGTATTTGTTAAAATGTATATTACTATGCCTCAGACCAGGCCTGCTGAAGAAGCATTCCTGATGGTTGGGCCTAGCAACCTGCATCTTAACAAGTGCCCCCTGGAGCTAGTTATACACACAATAGTACCAGTTACCAGTTGTGACTCCTGGGGACCTGTGTGTCTGTTTTCAATGGCTGATTTTTCAGAAGCAGATCATCAGACCTTTCTTCTAAGGTGTGTATGGATGAACTCAAACCTCAAACCTCACAGTTAGCAGCCAACCATGTTAACCGTTTGTACCACCCAGGGATTCCACACACTATATTCCTATTATAGTACTATATTAGAACTGTATTTATAGGCACCAGGTAGCCATAGAAAGGTTGGGAGATATAAAAATAGCTTTGTTCTTCCCATTGAAAGTTTTGTGTTTTTTTTTATTGTACTTTAGGTGAAGGCTTACAGAACAAGTAGTTTCTCATGAAACAGTAGTACACGTATTGTTTTATGACATTGGTTAACAACCTCACAACATGTCAACCCTCTAACTTCTCAACCTTTTTTTGGTGAAATACACATAGACAAAGATACACCATTTCAAAAATTTCTACAGGCACAGTTCAGTGACATTGACTACACTCTTCCAATTGTGCTGCTATTCTCACTTAAGATGAAGGCGTACAGAACAAAATAGTTTCTCATTTAACAGTTACTACACATGTTGCCCTATGACAATGGTTAACAATCTCACAACACATCAACAATATCTTTACTCAACCTTGGGTTCCCTATCACCAGCTTCCTGCATTCTGGCCCTTGTCACTGGACTACTGTACCTCATTAGTCCCATTTGGTTTTACGGGGCTGTCCACTCCCAGGCTGAAGGATGAACCTTGGAGATAACTTCACCACCCACTGAAAGTTTTAAGCAGGAGAGTAACGTGGACACTCCTGTGCTTTAGATAACTTAATCTAACAGTACCATGAAGAAAGCATTGGAAAGTAGAAGATTAAAGATTCACAGGAACGTATGGAATAAAGGCCTGGACTAAAGTAAAGGCAATGAGAAGAGGACAGATTCTGGAGATTATTTAGAGTGTAAAACAGGTCTTGATAAAGGAGATGTTAGAGTCAGGGATGATTCCCAGTTGCTGGCTTAGATGACTAGGGCAGCTGGCAGTGTCATCAAGAGATGTTTAATGAAAAGCATCAAAGAGCAAGGTTTTTAGGAAGTGGAGGGAGATATAATTAGTAATGATTTGGATATAAGGAAATTGAAATGTCAGTGACACATTCATGTGGAGATGCTCTTGTAGGTACTGTATCTAGGACTGGATCTGAAAAGAAAGGTGTTGTAGGCTAGAGATAGTGACAGGAGTCACCATTTTTTAGTATAAATGAAGGAGTAGGAGAGACGATCCACTGAAAGAAATAGAGGATAATTATATGAGATTTAAAAACCAAACCTGGGGGACAACATATTTAGACCATGGAAAAAGGAGAACAGAATAATGTGCTGCATGGAAGCCAAGAAAGAGAATTTCAAAAAAGGGAGGGGAGTATAAACAATCTCATCCTGCAAGTGGGAATATGATAAAAAAAAATAATAATAAACAATGCTCACTGGATTTGGAAATTGGCAAATTGTTTATAACCTTAGTAGAAGGTTCAGTAGGAATAGTACAGGGTCATCCGTCATACAGCAATCGATGAGGGAAAAATGGGATGGGAGAAGGGCACAGCAGATATAGCCCATTTTCAAAGTTTTGGTAAAAAGGAAGCGAGCGTGACAGCTAGAACCGAGCTGAAGGGTCAAGATTGTTTCTCTCACCTCCTTTCTCTTTCATTTTTTATCATCATAAGAGACAGTGTAGGTTTATAGGCTGGGGGGAAGGAGGGGCTGACAGACAAAAACAGTTATCAATGGAGTTAAGCCTCAGAGCAAACAGGAAGAATTAGGATCAAAGGGCAGGTGAAAAGACAGGTCTTGAACAGGAGGGAAACTCATTGTCTGAGGTAGAATAGGAAGTCAAAGGAATTCACACTTGATGGGCTGGGTTTTCGTCTGAAAGAATCAAGAACCTCTCCTGAGAGTAAGTGGGGTAGAGGGGAATCAGAGGCTAGACAGGTGTGGGGTAGAGAGGAATCAGAGGCTAGACAGCTTTAACGGTTGGAGAAGCTGAGAAGGAGGACGTAACAAAAGGCAAGTACAATAACTGAAAAGTAGCGCTGAGCCCAGTGGACACTGGAAAGTGATTTATAGTGGAACCAGTCTGTATGGTGCATGGTTTCCTCCAGAAGCTCTCAGCCTCATGGGTCACTGTCCACTCTGAATAGAGAAGGTGGATATGCACTTGGAAGTTTAAGAATGTCTCAAGAGAGGGCAAGAGAATTGAGGGTTCTGGCCAGATAATAAGGCCTCATGTATGTAAGAGAGGATAGGACAAGGCTGATGACGTAGACAAAAATGAAGGGCTGTAGGGACTGAAATTATCAGTGACGTCATAGAATAAATATATCAAGAGTATAATAAGCAAGTTGGAAAAACAGGACAGTATGGTCAAGAGTAAGGGACACTGAATTTATGCTTTTAAATGTAACACTGATGTGACTAGGTCCCAAGGAATGGCCATGGGAATGGGCTGTTGAAGTATAATGGTCACTGAATGGAGATACTTAATTCCTCAGCAATGTGAAGGTGGAAATGAGCGTTAGAGATTAACCTGGATATTGATGGATGTATGCTAAGAGGAGTAAAGGTGGTACAGACAGCATAAACTAGTAAAAGATGGTTATCAACTGCACATCTTGAGGGCAGAACAAGAGAAATGAATCCTGCAAGATGAAGGATTCAGATTAAAGAATTTCCTGTCAATAATTTTAACATTAGATTGAGTTAGTATTTGAGGTAGGCAGTATTCTTCTCTGATCAGCATGGAGTACACAGAATTTGAATTATTTTCTGAGCATAGTAAAAGACATGCTCCTTGCTCCCACATAGCCTAAATTCTAGTGGGGAAGACAAATTAATGATATGATACGGAAGCAGGGCTACAAAGGATTCTTTGTACATTTCCCCCTCCCAGTTTCCTAAGGAAAGGAACTATATTAAACACTCACATGGCTTTTCTCACCTTCTCTTTTCATTGAGCTAAGCATCTAGTCTATTCCTCCTCTGTGTCTTTCTTATTTATTCCTTGACCTGCTATAATCTGGTTTTTTTGCCCAGGGTTTAAGTGCTTAGTCTGTTGCTTAAATAGGCACAAATACTGCTGAAACAGCCTAAGAGACCATAATGAGGCCTGCCTCTGCCTAGTCCCTACTCCCACCCTCCTGGGTTACCAAATGAGATAATGAATAATGGAACTTATTTCCTTTGAAAACGCAGAAAGAAAAATCAGAAATATGAGTAAGGCAAGTGGTCTTTTTCAACGTAGCAATCTTTGGGGACAACTATCTATCTAGAATAGGGGCTTAACTAAACTAGCCTGAAGACCATGAATATAGGCAGAGACCTGAATGCTGATAAAGTGACTGCCAGGGTGGAGATATAATAATAATAAAAAACAGATTACAAAAAAGGGGGTAATGAACTCTGAGATCAAAGCTTCAGGAGGGGCTGTGAAATAGCATACAAAGTAAGAAACTTGAAAGTCAGAAAACCTGAATGTAGTCACTCTGAAGCTCATCAGGTGGTTGATTACAGAAGTCTCAGGACCTTGCTAGGCCCGTTTCTTCACATATGTTACTGTTGTTAGGTGCGGTGGAGTCAGTTCCAACTCATAGTGACCCTATGTACAACAGAACACTGCCCAGTCCTGTGCCATCCTCACAATTGTTCCTATGTTTGAGCCTGTCACTGCAGCCAGTGTGTCAGTCTATCTCTTTGAAGGTCTTCCTCTTTTTTGCTGACCCTCTACTTTGCCAAGCATGATATCCTTCTCCAGGAGCTGGTCCCTCCTGATGACATGTCCAAAGTACGTGAGACGAAGTCTTGCCATCCTCGCTTCTAAGGAGCATTCTGTCTGTACTTCTTCCAAGACAGATTTGTTCATTCTGGCAGTCCATGGTGTATTTATTCTTCATCAACACCATAATTCAAAGGCTCAATTCTTCTTCGGTCTTCCTTATTCAATATATAAAGTTGGATGATATCCTATCTTTACAGGATCGTTCTGAGCAACAAGATGTTAATGCGAAAGCTTCTCACGTGCCCTAGAGCCCCATGTGCTGTTTTTATTTCTTACAGACTGATGAAGAGAAGAGACAGGGGCTACCTGTGGTGATGCCAGTGTTTGACCGGAACACCTGTAGTATCCCCAAGTCCCAGATTTCCTTCATTGATTACTTCATAACAGACATGTTTGATGCTTGGGATGGTAAGATAGTTCATGTTTTGTCCTCCACAAAGAACATTTTAGTATACTTTATGATGATTACCTTTTAATGGCATAGGATGGACCTATAGATAAATTTTATATGAAAAAGTTAGCTGTCAGCTGTTTATGGCCAGGGCAAGGTGCATGTGTACTTTTTGCATTCCCTGGCACAGTGCTTTGTGTACAGAAGACTCATTAGATGTTTGATAAACTGGATAAACAAATCTTAGCCTCTTCAAAGGGCACACTTTTGAAGCTTACAGCTTTTATTCAGTCATTACAGGGAAACCTCTGGAAAGCAAGCAAAATGTATTAAGTCTACTCAAGTCACAAGTTCTTTTGATAATGTCATTAATAGACTTATTTTTTCAATTTTTAATTAAAAGGATCTGTTTGTATTTCAGAAACTAGTGTTAAGGACACCCTTCTCATACTTGTGCGTTCACCTGCAGCCTAAGGCTTAAACCCAGGGTACCTCTCCTCTAATCCTGACCCCAAATTTGTCCCCTTGAGCCCCATCCTTATAAATTCTCCTGTGATCTAATAATTGAATATGCTTCTTTCGATTCTTTTATGTCCCTGCAGCCTTTGCACATCTGCCAGCCCTGATGCAACATTTGGCTGATAACTACAAACACTGGAAGACATTGGATGACCTAAAGTGCAAAAGTCTGAGGCTTCCGTCTGACAACTAAAGCCAAGCCAGAGAACCTGACCCCTTGACCTACAAAAGGCACTGTGAATCACAGTAGTGTAAGCAAGAGGCTTTCCTTTATAATGAAAATGACAAATGTAGGTTAAGGAGCTGATGTTTAATATTTGACGTTAAATCATTCAAATCCCCAAATCTCATTTTTCAGAAAGTTATGTTCCATGAAGAAAAATGTTTTTTTGAACAATCACTTAAAAATACTTGGCAAACTCCTTTGCTCTGCTGTCATCCTGCGTGCCCTTGTCAAACCATGGAGCTGATTCTTCGTAATTAGCAGGACACAAAAAGCAGAGACTTGGTGCATGTGAGCCCATCCCCTGGATGATGACCAAGTAAGTTAGTGTTCAGCTCATCTCTTACCATAAAAGTTACCATGACTGTTTAGCTATTTTCCTCAAGAGCATCAGTCTGAAGGAATCATAAGAAGCCCATCTGAACAGATATATCCAAGAGAAAAAAAAAAAACTATATAAAATAAGCAAAACTGGGACCAAGTTATTAGCAAACTAGTTAGCATCATAGCCTCCATGGCTAGATGGTTCTTCTGGTCAATGGTGACACTCAAATTAGAACACAGCCTTGGCCTGGTGAGTGTTCTTTAGACTGGTATCAGCAGTCTCTGCAGCCCTCTGTCTGGTAAAAGAGATTCATCTTAACAGAAGCCATCCATGATGGGGGAGGGAATGACATCTTGTTTTGGGGGAAATCCATAAGCTTCCCTTATTTCTGGGTTACAGAGGCAGCCACAAGGCACTACACTAAGTATTATATAAAAGCCATTAAATTTGAATGCCCTTGGACAAGCTTTTTTTAAAAAGAAAAAATTTATATACATTTGCTGTTTAAAATTTTTATTAAAACAATCTAAATTTTCCAGGTTAAGTCCATGGAGTATGTTGTGCCATGTACCATCTATACATATATATCTGGGGAGGGGAGAGGGGAAGTTTCAAGGTTGAGATGTTTTTAACCTATCTATATTTGAGATCATGCCATTTTACTCTAATGGTGTAAGAAAAAAAAACTGCAAGATGTGTAAATATATCAGAAAATACGCATACAGGGGAGGCAGTAAATACTATTTTAAGCTATTAATTGTACGCTAAAAGCTTCTAAAGCACAGTGCATATTTTTATACAGCTCTTTTCACAACTTTGTGATCTACATAAAGTCAAACTGAGATTCTCCTTTCACCAGCCAACCCTTCTCTATGTATTATAAGTACTAAATATCCAGTAAACAAAATATCTTAGATTTTCTTTCAAATTCTCTGTACGCCATGCTGCATTTTTAAGAGGTATAAACAGAGAGAGTAAATTAATTAAACCAGGAGTTTATTTTTCTTTCAAATGAAAATTGGAATGCAGAACACCTGAAACTGGTAAATGGGAAGAAAAAAAATGATTTGTCGCTACATAATGTGCCAATGTTTTTTTCTATGTTTTGTACCAAAAATGGAAACACATATGACAATTCCATACAAAGAAATGTATCTAACTTATTTTTGTTAGCTAAGAAAACTTGTTTGGTCACTACAGCTGCCAGCTTTGTATTGTAATGCTGCATTATATAAATGTGATGAAAATGTTTTTGTGAAGTACTTGTAACTAAATTCCTACAGCCATTTTTCATTCCCAACAGCTGTTTTATTTTACCTCTTTGGCCTAAATTTTTCATAATTTCAAAATTTTGGTTTAGTGTCCTTTATTTCATGAGTCACATACTTTGTTTTCAGAACACATTAAAATCAGGATGCTAGAATCCCAATTTAAGGAGCTAAATCATGCCTAGGCTTCAAAAACTTGAGGCAAGGACAGCCTTTTTCTGACCATCTTGCTTTCAGTTCCTTTTGGTAAGTAACATTTATCTGGTGACTGACATTTTCTATATGAAACATTACAGCTAACTCAGTGTTGTGTCAAACTGATTTCACATTCACTTCAAACTTTTATATTAATGTGTGAAAGTTAAATGCTTTAAAACAGCCAGGTAATACAGCTTTAGCATAGCTCTGCTCTTTTTATCTACAGACTTCTACTGAGTTGCTAACTAAATAGTGCATTCCTCCATATAGTCAATTTATCAGAAATACAGTCTTTCAGATGGGTATAATTATTATAATTGCCTCTTATACTGAACTGTTTACTGAAACCCTGTGTTGAGGACAGCCAGTAATTTAGGAAAATGCAACACTATCTAATTCGGAGAGAAGCCACATTACTGCCACTTAACTAGAAAAAAGGAAGTTAGTTATAAAACATTACTTGGGTCAGATGACCCTATAATTTAACTAAGTTATTCTTTACTTCTAATTTAAGATTTTGAAATTCACTTGCCTTCAGGTTCTGGAATGGTTAGCCTCATCAGAACATACTCAGCCTGAGAGACAATAAATGGAAGGGATGTTCCAACGCCCCTGAACTTCAGCCTTTTAATTATTTTGTGACTGCAGTAAGAGTATTTTTAAATAAAAATGACAAGGCACTCTACATAGTATTACTTCCGGTGTTGTAAATATCATAGTAGTGTTGAAAGCTAAGCTAGGGAGATGGAAAAACTGCATATATGTCGACCTCAATTATAATTTTACTCTTCTAAACTTAAAGTTCAATTTTTCACAGCAGTCTACATGCAACTACTGAGCAGACATCAGGTCTCAGTTCCTACAAGCCTCTCTTACCATAAGGCACTCATGAAAGCAAATATTAAGTCCAGCAAATGGGTTGGAGACTGCCCCCTAGACATTAGTTACTTATGGTGGAAAACTAACTAAAGTATAATGACACAGGGATTTACCGTGGTACATTTTGTTACCAAAACTCACATGTGGTTTGTATCACTCCATCTAAATAGATTACTATCACAAAATACTAAACCAGAACAGGTTAGGAAAATAAAACGGTTAAAAAATCAATTCTTATAGGATGCACTGAATATGCCTTACACAATTCAACGAAAAAGTCCATCTTATATAAAGTCCATCTTATATAGGCAAATTAAGAAGCCCTAATGGCGCAGTGGTTAAACTACTCAGCTGCCAATCGAAAGATCAGCAGTTTGAACCCACCAGCTGCTCTGGGGGACGATGATGTGGGAGTCTGCTTCCATAAGGTTTACAGCTCTATGAGTCTGAACTGATTCACTGGCAATGGGTTACACACCACCCACCCACCCACACACACACCAACACACACACACCAACACACACACACACACACACACACGCCTGAAAAGATGCTGAGACTGTTAACCAATGTGATCAACAATCTGATGCACTAAGACCAAACTGCATTTCTGCCTGCTTTAGGGATATTACCCATGCTCTCATTTCAGGGATGATTAGAAAGCTGCCCGTGTGATTCCTTTAATGTGTAACAATAACAATTTGTTGGCCTAAAAGGCAGTGCTAATTTCCCCATTCATATTCTTCTATTCTGTAAAGCAGGTAAGTTGTATTTTTTTCCCATGAAAATGGAAAAAAATATTTAAAAAATGACTGTGAACATTATTTGGTTTTCCTCAAGTGGTAGTGATAATACGACTTTATTTCTGATTCCAGTCCTCTTTGACTCGTTTTTAAAGTTGCTCAATGATGATAATGGAAATAATACTATGTTGTCGTTAGGTGCTGTCACGTTGGTTCTGACTCACAGTGCCTCTATGTATAACAGAATGAAACACTACCCGGTCCTGGGCCATCCTCACAGTTGTTGCTACATTTGAGCCCATCATTGTAGCCACTGTGTCAATCCATCTTGTTGAGGGTCTTCCTCTTTTTTTGCTGATCCTCTACTTTGCCAAGCATGATGTCCTTCTCTAGGGACTGGTCCCTCCTGATAACATGTCCAAAGTACGTGAGACAAAGTCTCACCATTCTGGCTGTACTTTTTCCAAAACAGATTTGTTCATTCTTCTGGAAGTCCACGGTATATTCAATATTCTTCACCAATACCATTCTTCTTCACTCTTCCTTATTCACTGTCCAGCTATGCATATGAGGCAACTGAAAAGACCACGGCTTGGGTCAAGCGCACTTTAGTCCTCAAGGTGATATCTTTGCTTTTTAACACTTTAAAGAGATCTTTTGCAGCAGATTTGCCCAGTGCCACCCATCGTTTGATTTGACTGCTGCTTCCATGGGCGTTGAATAAGTAAAATAAAACCCTTGACAACTTCAGTATTTTCTCGGTTTATCATGATGTTGCTTACTGGTCTAGTTGTGAGGATTTTTTGTTTTCTTTATATTAAGGTGTAATTCATACTGATGTCTATGGTCTTTGATCTTCATCAGTAAGTGCTTCAAGTCCTCTTCCCTTTCAGCAAGCAAGGTTGTGTCATCTGCATAACACAGGCTGTTGTTAATGAATCTTCCTCTAATCCTGATGCCCCATTCTTCATATAGTCCAGCTTCTCAGATTATTTGTTCAGCATACAGACTGAATAAGTACGGTGAAAGGATACAACCAAGACACATCTTTCCTGACTTTAAACTACACAGTATCCCCTTGTTCTATTCAAACGACTGCCTCTTGGTCAATGTACAGGTTCTGCATGAGCACAAATAAGTTTTCTGGAATTCTCATTCTTCGCAATGTTATCTATCTAGTTTCTTATGATCCACATAGTTGAATGCCTTTGCACAGTCAACAAAACACAGGTAAACATCTTTCTGGTATTCGCTGCTTTCAGCCAAGCTCCATCTGACATCAGCAGTGATATCCCTCGTTCCACGTCCTCTTCTGAATCCGGCTTGCATTTCTGGCAGTTCCCTGTCAATGTACTGTTGCTACCGTTTCTTAATTATCTTCAGTATAATTTTACTTGTATGTGATATTAATGATATTGTTCAATAATTTCCACATTCCACTGGATCACCTTTCTTGGGAATAGGCATAAATATGGATCTCTTCCATTCGGTTGGCCACGTAGCTGTCTTGCAAATTTCTTGGCATAGACGAGTGAGCACTTCTAGCATTGCATCTGTTAAACATCTATCTGTCTTAGTCATCTAGTGCTGCTATAACAGAAATACCACAAGTGGATGGCTTTAACAGAGAAGTTTATTCTCTCACAGTCCAGTAGGCTACAAGTCCAAATTCAGGGCATCACCTCCAAGGGAACGCTTTCTCTGTTGGCTCTGGAGGAAGGTCCATGTCATCAATATTTCTTTTGTCTGGGAGCTTCTCTGCACAGGAACCTCAAATCCAAAGGATGCACTCTGCTCCTAGCACTGCTTTCTTGGTGGTATGAAGTTCCCATGTGTCTCTGCTCACTTCTGTCTCTTATATCTCAAAAGAGATTGGATTAAGACACTATCTATCTATCTAATCTTGTAAACCTCATCACTATAACCTCATCACAGTGACAGAATTTACAACACACAAGGAAATCACATCAGATTACACAATCATACAATACTGGGAATCATGACCCAGCCAAGTTGACAGATACTTTGGGGGGGACCCAATTCAAGCCATGACAACATCTCAATTGGTATCTGTCAATTCCTGGAGTCTTGTTTTCTGCCAATGCCTTCAGTGTATCTTGGACTTCTTCCTTCAGTACTATCAGTTCCTGAGCATATGCTCCTTCTTGAAATGGCTGAACGTCAACCAATTCTTTTTGTAATACTAGAAGACTATAGAGAACTAGTTGCAAGGCCTTACCTTACTGGGCCTCAGTTTCCTCATTTATAACATGTCAGTCATTGGTCTAGCCTAGACTTCAGCTCTTCCAGTCTTTGAGTATAGGCAGTTGTGCAAGTACCTGTCAAAGGTAAAACTACTAAAAACAAGTATTTATGAAGATCGGATGGGGGGAGGTGTTAATAAGGAACACATAAATCTGCAGAATGTATTGAGAAAGATCATTCCTCTGACACTTGTCACCTTGGAATTACTGTAATAGGGTTCTTTCATCAGCAGTTTAAATTTGTTTAAGAATAATTCTACAAGTAAACCCACCCAGTTTTTAATGTGTAGAACACTTCTTTTTAAATTTTTCTTCCTTAATACCAAAAGGGAGAAGAATGCTCTGTTACAAGGTCAGTAGGGGTAATGACGATGACTAAATCTCAGTGGTCACTGTGAGGAATTACATAAATGAAGCCGAATGGTAAGATGAATCAGGCATTTCCTGTATTTGGGAACACTGTGCCCCTTTACTGATCTAGCTCTGACCCCTGGCATATACGAGGGTCAGCTGCTGTTCTACTACCAATCTAGCCAATAGCTGTTTAGACACATTCACACTAGGAAAGAAAAACACACACCCTCATTTCCTACAGAGAAGGGTCAATTTTCGAGAGCTCTCAAAGTTTAAACTCAGGAGATGCTACATCCTACCTGTTCAATGGCTGCTTCATTTTTCTCCAAAATATCTTCTGTAATTATCACGTATACTTATTTCCCTAATAGTAGGTTGCTTAAATAAATTTAAATAATTAAGAGGTGTAGTTAAAATATTCATTTTGGAGAACAAATTCAAGTATTTCCAAATAACAGAAGGCTAATGAAACTACATATAACTTCTAAAAAATCTAATTTCTGGTGATGAGAATTTAACTAGAGGCAACAAAATTATACTATGTTAAAGACTGAGAAGCTCATTTGCTGTGGAGAAGTCAAATAGGAAACTTATGGTATACTGCTTGGTAGATGTACTGCTTGGTAGATGTATTGACACCTGAGAAGCAACTTATTGCTGGTTTACAGGCCCAGAAAAAAGAATTCAAACAAACAAAGCTTTATGGAGTGATAAGCAAAAAAAAAAAATACATTAAAAATTTAAGGGATTGATATATTGTTTTCAGAGAGATCTTAAATTTTGTATTACCCTATATTTGATGTTCAGGGTTCATGCACGTGTATCCTAATTCCTTAAAACTACACAGCAAGATACAAGTCACCATTCTTCTCTAATTTCTGAAATAATTTTAAACTGCGTAATCCAGATTCTCGCTCTCCATTTTTCCACAAAATAATGAGATGATCAGCAGAGCATGTCACTAGTCCATGATCTTCAAAGTATAGAAACATCTGTAAAGAAAATTGGAACTACTGATTATAGGAACTTCAAGGAGAATAGAAGAGGCTAATACTAGATTAACACATGTGCTTGTAAGCTATGTACCTTGGAGACTTATTTGGATCTAAATGTAAAATTCCATTTCATTTTTAACGAGAAATTTTATTTTTAAGTGTTGGTAAAAGTCACATACAATTACACTAATATCTAGTATTTTAATAATCAGAACTTTGTTAATACTTCTCAACTACACAACTATGAAAAAGACATTTTTGAATTTTACCATAATCTAATTCTTCAAGTAATTGGTTTTAAGATTTTGCCAGGTGGAGGTCCTCCTTCCCTTAATCACTTGTACTTGTCTCATTATTTATGCACAAATGACTAGCAATAAAATGTGTGAATTGTAAATTGCCAAAGATAAACACTGACTTCAGCTCTTTATGCAGAAATAATCAATCTATAAGCATTTACTGTGTGTATTCTATATGCTTATGGTCCCTACACTTAGGAAAGTTCGAATTCGGTTGTGAAAACCAAATCATAGTTGAAAGAATTAGGCCACTAATTAAAGACTGTATAACCAGGCACTAAATAATGTAGTAGAGACTATGACATCCCACAGAAATTTAGAATAGAAGGGGAAATGACAACAGCTCTTGTCAGACAAAGCTCCAAACAGACAAAATGTCAAGCAAAAGGAAGCACATGCCCAGCAAAGGAAAATAGCCTGAAAGCTAAGAATAGGAAAATGGAGTGTTGTGAGAAGGCAGGATGAATACTATGGGTGGATAGAAAATAAATGAAGCCATGAAAAGGATGAGGTTCTTGAAAGAAAGAGTGAAATAAAGGAGAGAAATAGAGCAACACTGAGGTTTGTTTTTTTTTTTCCAAAATTATCTATGGATTTCTGAAGATAGAGGGATAAGGCCATAAAACAGGTCTCAGCTGATGATGCAGAAGTTAAGGGGGAAACATGGGAGCAAAATCAGGATGCTAGAATCCCCATTTAAGGAAAATGGAAGATGCAATCCAGTACACAGGTAGAGGGCTTGGGTTAGAGAGTAACAATGGAAACATAAAACAAATGAGGAAATTCGGGACACAGAGCACCTAAAAGATAGCCTAGATTTTTTCACTGAAGCCAGAGATACTTAAAAAATGATTGTCAACACTTTAACTCAGGAAAATTCCTAAGAACCGGACACTGTTCCATATTATGACAAAGGTGCCATTTTTCAGGTTTCTCCCACTATTCAAAAACCTTTAGTGGGTTTCCACTGCTTTTAAAATAAAGTCCAAACTCCTCAGCCTGGCATTCAAGAACATTCATAATCTGACCCCAAACTACTTTCCTAGGCTTTATCTCCTACTCGTGTCTGTTAACAAGAACCTAGTACTCCAGCCTAAACAATCTGCTCCTTGCTACCAAATAGATTCTTTTGTCTACTACATTCTATGTTCACCATCGTCAAACTACTTTACAGTCACCCAAGTGAAAACAAAAAGTTCAAAAAGAATTAAATGGGGTTACCTGTTGGAGAAAAGCAAAGATGAATAAGACAACCTCAAGTAGCTTACAGTCACAAGGCTATTTATATTAATCCTACCGAACCCTGAAGTTTCAGCTCAAGTCCCCAACTCCCTTATATTCCACTAACCATTCAACAACAAATGCTTCTTCTAATTCCTGAGTATTCACTGTCTGCTACTCATCATAAGCCACCTTGATTAACTGTTCATCAGGTCTATATCCTTCCTCTCCTGCTAAAGTATAAGATCCATGAGGGGAGGAATTAGGAAATGCTCAATAAGTGTGCTGCTGCTGCTTCTAAGCATGAATGCACTTTCAAATCAAAAGTAATTTGTCACTCACCAGCTATGAAACAGGGAAGAACAATTTAAGAAATTCATTAATGAGGGTCCTGATTATACTGTTATCAGTTCTAATCATCTCTTTATTTGAAGTGATCTTATTCATTACAGCAACAGTGCCTGTGGTAAATATTAACGTTAATCTGGATTTCTACAAGTTAGAATTTTATGCATCTTATAATTGTCAACTAATATTTTCATATATGTACAATGATAAGCAGGGCACAGAGTTTTACTAAAGCTAACAGATTGTTATCCTTCAAAGGGAGCTTGTTCATGAATTTGCTAAAGACCCCTGGAATCAGATTCTATTAAGGCTTTAACTGTACACATATAGCCACAACCATCCATTCACCTTCTGTTTACTACTCTTACACATATACATTCAACATTATTCACATTACCCTTATTGTCAGCTATCTTGGTCTCATAAATAAGGATGATTAAGCCCAATTTTAGAAGCAATGCATTCCTTGCTTCCTCAAAACATCTCTCTTTGAAGGGAGATCCTAAATGCATACTGTAACCTATTCCATGTTCAGATTCAGGAAAAATCTACCTAAGCGGGAAAGACAGAGAGCTATGAAGTAGAGATCTTTATGAGATTAACAAGATGCAAAAGCAGGAATTTCCAGGACATTTATATGCCTATTAAAAAACAATACCTCCCAACTGGACTAAACCAAAGCTAAGAAGTTTCCTGAATACAACCAAACACTTTGAGGGACAGAGTAGCAGGGGTCTGGGGACCATGCCTTCAGGGGACATCTAGGTCAACTGGCATAACAAAGTGTATTAAGAAAATGTTCTGCATCATACTTTGGTGAGTGGCATCTGGGATCTTAAAAGCTAGCGAGTGGCTGTCTAAGATGCATCAATTGGTCCCAACTCACCTCGAGTAAAGGAGAATGAAGAACACCAAAGTCACAAGGAAAGTATTAGCCCAAGAGGCAGAAAGGGCCACATAAACCAGAGACTGCATCAACCTAAGACCAGAACTAGATGGTGCCCGGCTACCTCCAATGACTGCCCTGACGGGGAACACAACAGAGAGTCCCTGAAGGAGCATGAGAAAAGTGGGGTGCAGAACTCAAATTCTAGTAAAAAGACCAGACTTAATGGTCTGAGACAGGAGGATCCCCAGTAGGCATGGCCCCCGGACTCTCTGTCAACCCAGAACTGAAACCATCCCCAAGGCCAACTCTTCAGACAAAGATTAGACTGGATTATGGGACATAAAATGATACTCGTGAAGAGTGTGCTTCTTGGCTCAAGTAGATACATGAGACTAAATGGGCAGCTCCTGCCTGGAGGTGAGATGGGAAGGCAGAGAGGGTCAGGAGCTGGTTGAGTGGACACAGGAAATCGGGTGGAAAGGAGGAGTGTGCTGTAATAGTGTAGGGAGAGCAATTAGGGTCACATAACAATGTATGTATAAATTTTTGTATGAGACTAACTTGAATTGTAAAGTTTCATTTAAAGTAAAATTAAACAACAACAACAATACCTCCACAGATGATGAGTGTCCAATCAAATCTCCAATAAGCTCTAGTGAACATGAAGTGGCATTTTCTTGTTGCTTCTTAACAGGTTGGCTGGCTTGTTTGTTTACCCTGCCAAATCCCCACATGTTAAAAAAACCTAGAAAAACACAATCACTTCAGTTATTTCCAAAATGTCTGTGCTTTTTACTCATTTTACAACAGTAACATGAGACCAGAAAACTTAAGTACAAAGATGTTCCGCACTTACTTTAGTCAAGGGCTAAGGCAATGATGGCACCAGGCAGTATGCTAGAGCTTTGTGTTTTTTAGTATTTCATTTCACCTTTCTTAGATCCCAGTCACCCTCTGGAGCCCTGGTGGCACAGTGGTTAAGAGCTACAGCAAGCTATGGCTGCTAACCAAAAGGTTGGCAGCTTGAATCCACCAGCCACTCCTTAGAAACCCATGGGTCAGTTCTACTCTGTCCTATAGGGTCTCTACAAGTTGGAATCTTGGAATTGGCTCACAGCAACAGGTTTGGTTTTCTGGTTTTAGTCACCCTCTGGTGAAGGTGTATTAACATGACAAAGACAGATTAGATGCTGGAATGAAAGAGAAGTAAATGCCTGAATGGAAGCATCTAATTAAAAAAATAAAAAAGCACAGCTCAGATTTAGGCATTTAAAAAAAAAAAAAAAGCATAGCTCAGTCACCAATTAAAGATTGTGTGATCAGGTACTAAATAATGTGGTACAGACTATGGTAATAAGGGTAAAGCAACACCCTAGAACTTCAGGTAAGTCAGAAGAAAACTACAGAGGTATCAGCATCTGATTTCTTATGCAAAGCTTGTTAACTAATTTGTTTGAACATCCAGAGTTTTCAAACCAGAAACATGGAAGTAAAAATGTCATGAGATGATATAAATTCAAACAAAAGTGTACTTTTCCGTAAAGCCATTTGAATTCAGTGTTAACGATAATGCTTCATGGCTTAGAGAACTCTTTAGGTTGACATCTGAAGGTACAAATTCTGTTTGTGTATCAATCAGAATTACAGACAATATAAATGAAATTATAGGCCAGCTGGTCATTCCGATTATCAGAAAATAGAAGTTCTTCCTCAAAGCAATAACATCCCAGTTGACTTAAATTGAAATAAATAAGCAGTTATATAGTAAAGCAATTTATATTAATATAAAGTTTCAAAGATGTAAATCCTAGATCCCAATGACCATATTTTGAAATGCTTCATTGTAAACATCTTAGGTCTCCTTCGAAATTCTACTTGGAGCACATGCTACATTTACTTATTCTTGTGGTCACTGCCTTTCTTCAGCCTTTCATATGAGAAAAAGAAAGAGAGAGACTACCCTTTTGGGAGAAGACACTCACCTGTTGGTACAGGCTCAGCTGGGAGGTGCTGTTTTTCTCGTAACTCCCAAATGCGCACACTGCCATCTTCTGAGCATGAGATTAACTGCCTGTCAGAACAGAAGATCAGTAATAAAAAAGACAGAGCATCATGGAGGGCTAATGCTCTATTTGTAGTGAAAGAAACCAGTGAAGTCCTTAACTGCTTTTATTCAGCTCTTAGCAGGAATTGATTTTTTTTTTTTTTTAAATCACAATTTAACATGGCTTTATACCACAAAATAAAAGCACTCATCAGGAAAGGCACACATTATACTGTTACCTAGGCTCAAATATGCTGAATTTATCATCTCCGTTTTTTAAAATGCATTCAGGAAAACAGGGTATGAATTACTCCTTCATAATGTCCTGCCTGGCCCCCTTCCCTCCTCTTATTGTATCTCTTTGCAGTGTACCTCTCATTCTAAAAATATCCAGCATTAAAAATGCTATTCCTTTCACATAATTTCATCCCTAGAAACTCAGCAGCCAAATTTACCCCGAGAGGAAAACCCTCACTTAGTAGCCTTAGACATTCTGGCCATAAACAAAAAAAAAAAAATGTGGGTTTATGGAAAACATAAAAATGAGTACACTGTAAGTGCCCAAAAGTCTTTTGGGCTTTAAAAAAAGTACTAGATTTTTAAACTATCTCTTCGTACATGAAATTCCATGTAATTCATTTGAACTTTGCTTCTTGTAAATTCTGTAATATATTACATCAAACTCGTCTGTTAGAGGGAGCCACGGGGCATTTTCCATTTCCAAAATAACACAGCGGGTCAAGCCACAGGGTCAGGTAACTTTGCTGCTTGAGAAATTATGTTAGTGGCCCTGGGAAGCATAAATTTCTTTCATCTATTGCAGAAGAGATGGGAACTTGTACCTGTTCGGAAGTTTGGCAATGTGCAAGACATTGGAGTCATGTGCAGTTTTCTGGCAGGCAATCACACGCTTCATTTGCAGGTTATACACATATAAACCCCTTCCAACTGCAGCAAATACATTCTGGGGTAGGAGGGAAAGTTCAGAAATGGGTGTCAAACTAGTACATACCACTACCTGGTGTAATAGATTTTCTGCCCTAGTGTGACATCAGAAAGCCATGGTTACTTTCCCTATTCTTACCTTCATCCCAAATTACTGTACTGCCCTCTGAAGTCCAAAACTCTCCAGGCACCAAGGAAAGTTCAGTATTTACAAGGTAGGAGGACACAGACACTAATACAGAGAAAGCTCTATCATACCTCCTTCGTATCACCTTCTTCCTCACAAATATGACAGCTGGAAAAAGGAGCTATCGCTGGCAGCCAGCCTGGTCCTGCAGCAGAATTGCTGAGGTACAATTGATCCCAATTATTTGTGGATTCCGTATTTCAACATTACCCTACTTGCTAAAATCTGTAACCCCAAAATTAATACTCACAATGCTTTCTTGGTCATTCATGGATGTGTGCCAAGTGGCAAAAAATTTAAGAAGCCCAATGCACATGCCAAACAAGGAGACACGTCTTCTTGTTTCAGCTCTCATACTGTAAACAAGTGCCCTTTTTGCAGTCTATTTAGTGCCATGCTTTTCACATTTTTCTGCTTTTTGTTGGTGATTTCACTGTTTAAAATGGCCCCCATGCTTAGTGAAGTGCTGTCTAATGTGCCTAAGTGCAAGAAGGCTGTGATATGCCTTATGGAGAAGATAACATGCATTAGATAAACTCTTTCAGGCATGAGTTATAGTTCTGTTAGAAGTGAATGCAAAGTTAATGAATCAACAACACACATAAAACAAGGTTATATATTAATTGATTCATGAAAATGCTGTGACCAGAGGCTTGTAGGAACCTAACCCTGCATTTCCCCGAGGAGCAATGGTTCATTATTCACTAATTCAGTGTTCACCATGACTTTCTAGAACATAGCTACTGCAAATAATGAGGATTGGTTGTATAATCTGGGTTTACAATCACATAACGCAATAAATATCCTTGGAAAAATTACTTAGCTTCTTTTGCTTGAAAAATGTGAGCAAAATTACTTGGACTCTACATTAAAGTTGTCAACAATTTCATTCTATTTGGATCAACAATCAACATCCATGGAAGTAGCAGTCAAGAAATTGAATGACATATTACATTGGGAATATATGCAGCAGAAGATTAAAGTTTTAAAAGCAAAGATGTCATTTTAATGACTAAGGTGCATGTGACCCAAGCCATGGTCTTCTTTAATCACCTCATATGCATGAGAAAGTTGGAGAGTGAAAAAGGAAGACAGAAGAATTAATGCATTCACACTGTGGTGCTGACAAAGAATACAGCAGTCCTCATCTGCGAAGGGTATGTTCCAAGACCCCCCCTGGATGCCTGAAACCACAGATAGTACTGAACCCTACATATACTATGTTTTGTCCTATACATACATACAATATCTATGAGAAAGTTTAATTTATAAATTAAGCACAGTAAGAGAATAATAATAAAATTAAACAATTATAACAATATACTGTAATAAAAGTTATGCGAATGACAGAGTGGGACGGCATGAGATTTCATCATGCTACGTGCTATTTAACATTTTCCAACTGAGCTGACCGCAGGTAACTGAAACCGTGGAAACCTCGGCTAAGGGGGGACTACTGTACCAAATATTCCATGTACTACCAGAAGATTGAACAAATCAGTTTTATAAAGAAATACAATCAGAATACTCTTTAGAAGTGAGGATGGCGAGACTTTGGCTCACTTACTTTGGACACATCATAAGGAAAGACCAATCATTAGAAAAGGACGTTATGTTTGGTTAAGATAGAGGGTTAGCAAAAATGAGGAAAACCTTCAATGAGGTGGGTTACCACAACTGCCACGACAATGGACTCAAATGAACCAACGATTATGAAGATGGCATATGACTGGGCAATGTCTAGTTCTATCATACATAAGGTCGCTGTGAGTTGCAGGCAACTCGAAATAACTAACAACAACATCTTAAGCAATCAAGAGACCTATAAAGAATACAAAAAAATATGCTATAGTAGCACTATCATATGACTTCACAGTAACATTTTTCCAAATGTAGTATTAGAAATACTTCTTTACTAGGAAAATATCTTTTGAAAGCACCTTTACTAATATTATCTTACTTTAGCCCCAAAACATCTTGTTAAGGTAAGAAAGGCAAGCATTATTGCCATTTTCCAGATGAGTAAGTTAAAATTTAAAAAAGACTAAAGTCACAGAAAAATTAGACAGAGTCAATATTAAAAGCATATGACTCATACCTTACTCTTTCCTTAAACTACACTGCCTAGTTTCTGAAATTATTTTTCAAGTTACCATACTTTTGTTAATACTTGCATGAAAATCAGTAGGTATTCAGTATTCAGCAGGTACTCGGAGAGGCAGACATTTCAAAAATCCCTACAGATTGCCTTCCTATTTTCAACAGAGACCCTGAGCCCTCTGAACCCTTCCCATAAGGTCTTAAAAGCTACAAATCCTACAACATCTGGACCAAAGCATACCCTCTAGGTTTACCAGACTCAAAATCTGGAATGCTCCACTAGACCCTCAGGATTATTCTGCATTTAACAATGCAAACTGAGGACCAGTTTTATTTTTCATTGTACTTCAGGTGAAGACTCACAGAACACATAGCCTGTCATGAAACAGCAGTACACACATTGTTCCACGACATCGGCCAACAACCCCACAACATGTCAACCCTCTAACCTCTCAACCCCTTTTTTTGGTGAAAATACACATAGCCAAAGATGCACCACCTCAAAAATTTTCACATGCACAGTTCAGCGACATCGACTACGCTCCTCCAATTGTTCTGCTATTCTCACTTAAGATGAAGGCTTACAGAACAAAATAGTTTCTCATTCAAGTTACTATACACGTTGCCCTATGACAACGGT